ATCCAATCAGTTGGTCCAATCTAATTACATCAATTATACTTTGTGGTTAATATATATCTTTTTAAAGCACCAATATGTAAGTTGATCATTATAACAATCAGTGAGATTGATATATTTTATATTTTAATAATAATTAAATAAGTAACTAATGTTTGATTGTTTAGTTGATATCTCAATTAACTCTTAAATTTCAAAATTTTGAATTTGTTTTGAATTATATAAATATATTAATTTTTTTAATTATTTAATAATAAAAGGGTATAATAAATGTGAACATTAAAGTAGTCAATAAAAAAATTATCTTCTTTATAAATTAGAATTGATAAATAAATAAAGTTTTGGTTAGTGGAAGCAATTTTACAAGAATTTGAACTAAGCTTTTACATTCAGCGTTCTAAGTTGGAGAATAGCGATGGTGTCGATAGAAATTTATGCTAAAATATTAAAACCCAAACTTGGACAATTTTAAGAGCCAGTTTATTCTTTCAAGTCTTACTTTTGAATAATAACTTTGTCTGGTGAGATGTCTTTATTATTAAAATATCAAATGTGTCCTTATATATTCATCAAAGATTATGTTGTACAAATAATACTAAAGAGTGTGAATATAAAAATCAAAATAACTATGAAACAGCAATAACTATGAATCTCTGTAAAATAAAAAATAAAAAATAACTATGAATCAGCATTCCATAAGCATTTTTTTTCTTTAGGAAATTTTTAAGGTTACTAACAAATAATTTACATTTTAAATGTATTTATTTATTATAAATTTTAATTATATAAAATAAATATTTATTATGTACATAGTATGTGTTAAAAACATTATTATTTTTAATAAATTTATTCAACTCAAATTAAATTGCTAAATACCTAATATAATATTTTGATATTAATGGTAAAAAGAGAGAGAGAGAAAATTAATGTAATTTAAAATAAAAGTTGTTCTTATGTTGAATTCATAATATTCTCCTCCTCTTATAATAAATGTCATTCTAAGATTTTTTCATATAAATAATAAACTAATAAAAAAATAAAAGGAAATAATAATTTTATACAATTAATTTATTATTAATCATGTTTAATAAAAAAAAATAAAACACACCAACAATATGTGAAAAATATTATTAAAAATATAAATAATTAATTAATACTATATTAAAAATTAAAATGACATATATTTAAGATTTTTTTACATAATAGTTATTAGAAAGTATGATACAACGGATAGAGTAAAAAACTTGTGTGAGTTGTTATTATTACCTACAACGTGAATTTTCACTTTTCAGTTGGTTTTCAATTACTTAATCTTTTTGAATTTATATTATATCAATTTTTTATTTATTAAAATTAAAATTCAAACTTAGAATCCTGTTATTAAGTGGATCTAGTAATATTCCATGAATTATTTTATTGTATTGAAGGTAAACTTAACTAACCTTTGATTCCATGAACACATACCTATTGTTTTTGCTTTAATTAAGAACAATAATTGGCGTACTGATAAAGTGTGTGTCTTTTTTGTCTCACCAACCCACCTTTGGCTTAATGTTTCCAATTCACATTCTTTTTTTTTTTTGAACCAATTAAGATTCTTTAAATCTAATAAGCTGCGCCAGGAAAAAAAAAAAGAAAGAAATATATCACTAGTCACCTACCATTCATTGAATTGAGGTCCCCTGCAATGTGCCAAAGGCACAAATATTAATCACACTGCTAAAACTTCCAAAGATAATATTTGATTTTAATTTTCATGCAGGGTAAACTTTTATATCCACTAATAAATTTATCTCTCTAACACACACACACATATATATATATAATTAGATTCTTGCTAAAATTTACTTAGTGATTGAATATTTTGAGTAGTTAACATGAAATTCTAAACTTATTGTCATATATAAAAGAAAAAAAATGTAATTAGCATTGAATAGTATTACTCACCTTTGGTTCTATATAATATACTGAATGAAAGTATTTTTTTAATTATAAAACATTTGGAATTACTTTTAAATGTATTAATTAATTGTTTTTTTTTATATTTTTAATTTATTATGAAGTCCATTAACAAAGTATTTACTAGTTTTTTTTTTATATTGAAATAATGAGTTTTTTTCTTACTACATTATTAATATAAAATATTTATCAATTTTTTTAATAACTGAAATTTTTCGATCAACTATATTTTATTCATTTATTGGATTTCTAATGATTACCTATATTTAAACTCGTAATTTATAAGTTTTTTTTAAAAAAATTTTATAAGTAGTCATTGTATGCAATTCTAAGAATTATAATCACTTGTACACAATTATTTAAAAATTGGCTCGGATCGACCGGGATCGGACTGGTTGAACCGGAAATTGATAGTCCAGTCAGTCCAAACTTTAAGTTAGATCGATTATGCATTTGATCCATTTCATACTGAATTAAACCGGTCAATTTTTCGATTCAACCACAAATTTTTTTTAAAGGGACAAAAACTACAAAAATAACAATGAAAATTGAATCTTTTAATGGAAGGACAAAGAGTCTTATTAAACATAACAATGACCAGTGTTTTAAAAACCGAACCGGTTATTGAACCGGTGAGAGTACTGAGTCAATGGGTCAATGGTTAGACCGGTGGGTCACCTATTAAACCGCATAACCCGATTTCTATTAAAAAAAATTAAAAAAATATTTGTTATACATATTTCATACTTATAAATTTCAAAAAAAACCACATAATCCCTTAAAAGAAACTCCAAAAAAATTACAAACACATTTTAACTAATTTTTGGCAAATCAAAAATGGCGGTTGTGGAGCCCAAGTTTGAATAAAATAATGTTTAAGTAGCCGTAATCAAAAAATCAAAAAATGCTACCAATAAACAATAAAAAAACACACATTTTCCTGTGATTTTATAACCTTATAACCTGAAGCAAAGGCGTGGTGGTGCGACGAGGCGGCGGTGCAGCGATGCAGCAATGCGATAGTGCGACGGTGCGGTGGTGCGACTATGCGTGGTGCAGCGGTGTTGTTGTGAAGCTGTGGCAGTGCGGCTGTGCGTGCAGAGAAGCGACCAGCAGGATTTGTGTCTCAAACGCAAACTGAAAAAAAAACTTAGGGTTTGAAGCTTAAACGGAGCGTGTAACGAGAGGCATTTAAAAAAACGACGTCATTGAATTATTTTTTTTTTCAAAAAAAGTTATGAACCGGTTTGGGTCCAGACCCGCGAGTCGCTGGTTCAACCGGGTTTTTAACCGGTTCACACCGAGTCATACCGAGTCAGCTGCATATCCGATCTGATCAGTGGTTCGACTCGGTCCAACCACCGGTTTTCGGTTCGACCGGTTCGACCGGCCGGTCCGAACCGAGTTTCAAAACACTGACAATGACTACTTGTTCTAGTACTTGTTTATAATATATGCAACTTAAATAACTTTTATAGTATATTATTAATTTTAAATTATATATTTACTAATATAATATCTATGTAGATATTACATATATTATTTTGTGATATCAATTGCAAGCATATTACATATGTACATATTATTTATATTTTTAATTTGCATTAATATATAGTTTAACATGTAATTTTTTTTATGTATTTCTTTATATAAAATAAAAATAAAGATAATTTTAAATAAGATGAAAATTGAAATTTAAAATAGGATATGAATTTATTAAAATTTATAAGTTTAAAATATATTTAACATGCATATTTTTAAAAAAAATTAATAAAAATCGAGTTATGTGATTCAATTAATGACTCACCGGTTCAACCTTTAACTCATTAACTCAGTACTCTAACCGATTTGATGACTAGTCTGATTTTTAAAACTATGATTGTACATACTACTCAATCAAATGAGTTAAATATTTTCAGTTATTTTAATTTTTTAATAACCATGCTATAAAAAAAACTGTATTTTACATTTTAATTAAATTCGGTGGGAACAGAAATTTCTCATTACATTTTAACTAAATTCTTATTCTTAATATTTTACATTACAATTCAATCAGAAAAAAACTGTATTTTGCATTTCAACCCATTGATTTTTATTGGCAAGATTTTCTACAATTTCCCCAAAACTACACAAGACTTGTTTGATTTACAAAGATAGATTCATCGTACTAACGAATCCACACTGCATTTGTCAGTGAGACACTTTCTTGAAAATTGCCTCTAACTACCCCATTTACTAAACATTTTTGAGTCATACTCAAAAATCAACATGGAGTCCCAGGAAGCCTGCATCAAAAAATCTCACGTTCAGATTGTGATGGTTCCTTTATTATGCATCTAATTCTAAGGTGTGATATCATCTCATCTCACACCATTCACAAGCATGTTAGTGACCAAAATAACCAAAATTCCAATCCCCAATTTACCCTTTCTTTCTTTTTGTCCTTTCGGACACAAAGGATAAGCCTGCTGTGAAAGAGGATCTGCCACAAAGAACTCATCAGAGTCTTACAATTTTCAAACCTCAGAAAAAAATAAATAAAAAAAACATTTTTCCCCCTTAAATGTCTTCCATTGAAACTCAATCTTCACAGCTTCAACGCCTTCCATTCATTCCTCACTTCCACAGTTTGTGGTGTTTTCTTCTGAGACACTGATAATCTTGAATCTGTCTTTTTCCTTCACAGGTGGGCGCATAGTCACCAACCACCTACCATTTTCTCCAGATCTCAAAACTACACTTTATCCCTCCCACAAAAAATTCACCATATTTTACTCATTCACTTTCAAAAACCAAACCTCTCATAATATATTATATCATATCATATATAATATATAATATACTACTATACGTTCATATTTTTATATAACAATATAGCCTTCAAAGGACTATATTATCGTCAGCCACACTTTACACCCCATCCTCACTCATACACTCCAATGGAATCTTAACAAGAAAAGTATAAACACACCCCACCACAAAACACCACTTCCTCTGCTCTCTCTTTCCATTAGACTCCTCTGTTTTCCTCTGTAGCAGCACTCATGGAACGTGCTCGCAGGCTCGCGAACCGCGCCATTCTGAAGCGTCTGGTTTCAGAGGCGAAGCAGTACCAGAAGAATGAGTCCTTTCTGCAGTCTTCCACCACCCCCATGCTGTTGTACTCTTCCTCCAGGTGCATGTCCTCTGTTTCTTCCCCTGTTCTGCGAAACAGGGGAGCCAAAACAGAGAGCCTCCTGGGGAGGAACATGAGCATCACCAACATCTCACGTGGAGTTGTCGGTGGTGGTTTTCTCAGTGTTGGCTCAACCCGATCCATCTCGGTTGAAGCGCTTCAACCGAGCGACACGTTCCCCCGCCGCCACAACTCTGCCACCCCTGAGGAACAGAGCAAGATGGCAGTGTCTTGTGGCTTTGAGAGCCTTGATTCCCTGGTTGATGCCACCGTGCCTAAATCAATTCGCTTGAGTGACATGAAGTTCGGAAAATTCGATGCCGGGTTGACAGAGAACCAAATGATTGAGCACATGAAGTATTTGGCCTCAAAGAACAAGGTTTTCAAGTCCTACATTGGGATGGGGTACTACAACACTCATGTTCCACCAGTGATCTTGAGGAACATAATGGAGAACCCTGCATGGTACACTCAGTACACTCCTTACCAGGCTGAGATATCTCAAGGGAGGCTTGAGTCACTGCTGAATTACCAAACCATGATCACTGACCTCACTGGCTTGCCTATGTCCAATGCTTCATTGCTTGATGAGGGCACTGCTGCAGCTGAGGCAATGTCCATGTGCAACCACATTCAAAAAGGGAAGAAGAAGACCTTCATCATTGCAAGCAACTGCCACCCTCAGACCATTGACATTTGCAAGACAAGGGCAGCTGGATTTGATCTCAAGGTTGTGTCACAAGATCTTAAGGACATTGATTACAAGTCTGGGGATGTTTGTGGGGTGCTTGTTCAGTACCCTGGGACCGAGGGTGAGGTGTTGGACTATGGGGAGTTCATCAAGAAGGCTCATGCTCATGAGGTGAAGGTTGTGATGGCAAGTGATTTGTTGGCACTCACTGTGTTGAAGCCTCCTGGTGAGCTGGGGGCAGATATTGTTGTTGGCTCAGCTCAGAGGTTTGGGGTGCCAATGGGGTATGGAGGCCCTCATGCAGCTTTCTTGGCCACATCACAAGAGTACAAGAGGATGATGCCTGGGAGAATCATTGGAGTCAGTGTTGACTCTTCTGGAAAGACTGCTTTGAGGATGGCAATGCAAACTAGGGAGCAGCATATCAGGAGGGACAAGGCTACCAGCAACATTTGCACTGCTCAGGTAAACTATCTCATCTGGTTGGCTCAATCAGTTTTAGTTATTGGCTTTGGTGTGCAAATTCCACTAAGAGTTTAAATATTTCTAGTCTTTTAGGGATTTAATTAGAATGCACTGATGATATATAAAGTTCTTTCATACTTTGATCTAGGCATGTTTGGATAAACTTTTCCATAAGTACTTTTAGAAGAAAAAAATAAGAAGAAAAATTGAAATAAACTTCTCTTTAACCAAAAACTAGCTTATGTATGAGTTAAAAATAAGATTTTGAAGAAACTAATAAGAAAGAATTTCTACAAATTAGTATATGGAGAGGTTTATTTTATTTTTCCTTTATAATTGTCTCTCCTAGACTAGAAGTGTTTCTTGAAAAATTTACATAAATAGACTTCAAATCTAGATTGGCATATATGGTAAGATTGTTCGCTTTTGTAATAATTAGAATGTATTGACGGTATAAAGGTTATTTACATTATCATCTAATTATGGATTGTCGTGTATGTTGAGATTGTAGACTTTTGTAATAATTGCTTTCCAGTTTATATTCATGATGATTTCTAATTTATTGACGATGTAAAAATCTTTATGCGGATAATTTATGAAAATTAAACTCTTGTTTTTTAACTGTGTTTATGTTTCGAATCATAATTTTTGTTTTGGAACTTTCTGTTATGGGATGGATTGTCATAACATTTAAGACTTAAGAGTGTTCCTGGAGCTATGTTGTGAATTTGTTTGAGCTCGTTGTGGATTTTATTTAATACTGGTTGGTTTTGTTTAGGCACTGCTTGCAAACATGGCTGCCATGTATGCTGTGTATCATGGACCTGAAGGCCTTAAGAACATTGCACACCGTGTTCATGGTCTTGCTGGGGCATTTGCTCTTGGATTAAAGAAACTTGGAACGGTGGAAGTTCAGGACCTTCCCTTCTTTGACACTGTGAAGATCAAGACTTCCAATGCGCATGCAATTGCTGATGCTGCTATCAAAAATGAAATTAACTTGCGAGTTGTAGATGGAAACACTGTGAGTGTTGCTTTTTGCTGCACCAAATCTGTTAATTGTGTTTGCTGTCTTTAGATTATGGAGCTTGGTTGCTTTTCAGATCACTGTTGCTTTTGATGAAACAACCACACTAGAGGATGTTGATAAGCTTTTCAAAGTTTTTGCTGGTGGAAAGCCAGTAAGTATATGATTATATATTATATATTCGTTTCATAAATACCAATTGTGTCATTACTTATAATTTTGATGTTAATTTATATTCAGGTCTCCTTCACAGCTGCAACTATTGCATCAGAAGTTCAGAGTGCAATTCCTTCTGGACTAGCTAGGAAGAGCCCTTATCTGACACACCCTATCTTTAACACGTATATCCCTTTTCACAAACTTTGAGTTCATGCGGTTATATTAATATTATGGAAACTTACTTCAATTTTATTTTTCTTTTCATAGGTACCAAACTGAGCATGAGTTGCTTAGATACTTACATAGGCTACAATCAAAAGATCTCTCACTATGCCACAGTATGATCCCACTGGGATCTTGTACAATGAAGCTGAATGCAACAACTGAAATGATGCCTGTGACATGGCCCAGCTTCACTGATATTCATCCTTTTGCACCAATTGACCAGGCTGAAGGTTATCAGGTAATTGGATGTTCAAATAATCTTACAACAATAGTGAATCAAAGAAATTCAAATATATACTTCTTTGTGCCTGAAAATATGGGATAGAAGTTGTATTTTCTCTGTCTAAACAAGCATATATGGTAACAGGAAATGTTCAACAATTTGGGTGAACTGTTGTGTACCATCACCGGGTTTGACTCCTTCTCTTTGCAACCAAATGCTGGTGCTGCTGGAGAATATGCTGGACTGATGGTTATTCGTGCATATCATTTGGTATGGTAACTTGGATCATTATCATAATTTATTAGGAAATTTATGGTTCGTCTGATTTACTCTTAGGATATAAAAGTTTTTCTGTGGTTATTTAATGTAACATTGTACTTTCATTTTAGTCAATTATGTATAGCCTCAGTTGTGTCATTTTCTGTTCCTACATTACCATCTATGATAAATGTTCTTAAATTCATGTGATGTTCCTCTTATTATTATTCATCGGAAATTGTAGGCAAGGGGAGACCACCACCGCAATGTTTGCATTATACCTGTCTCAGCACATGGTACAAATCCTGCTAGTGCTGCTATGTGTGGAATGAAAATTGTATCTGTTGGAACTGATGCCAAGGGAAACATTAACATAGAAGAGTTGAGGAAGGCTGCTGAAACACACAAGGACAACTTATCAGCACTTATGGTACTGCTTGCTTCCTATAGAATATTACTCATATAATTGACTTTATACCATCTAATTGAGGCATAGGCATTGTTTACATTAGTTTGGTTTTGATTTAAAATGCAGGTAACATATCCTTCAACCCATGGTGTTTATGAAGAAGGTATTGATGAGATTTGCAAGATTATTCATGATAATGGAGGCCAAGTATATATGGATGGTGCCAACATGAATGCTCAGGTTTGTTTTTCTATGCATTATTTAGTTACATTCATGTAGTTAGTGTTGGGCCATGTGTCTTTTTAGGATGGTACAACCAAAGACATATAGTTCAAGAAACTAATTTCTCCCTATTTTTTATTCTTGTCCAAATTGTGAATTGATCCAAAATCTTCAGTCATGTTGTCTTTCAAATTTCTTAACCGATTGTTCTGTTGCCACATTCTTCATATCACGTTGATCCAGAATTTATCAATTTGTGCCTCATTTAGTCATTCTCATAAGATGTTTGTTCAGTTATCAAATTATTTTTCCATGTTTATAGGTGGGACTCACAAGCCCAGGTTGGATTGGAGCAGATGTTTGCCATCTCAATCTCCACAAGACATTTTGCATTCCTCATGGAGGAGGTGGCCCTGGAATGGGTCCTATTGGTGTAAAGAAACACTTGGCACCATTTTTACCTTCACACCCTGTGGTAAGCACTTTTTCTTTCCTTGTCATGGATGACATTATGTATAATACGCATACATGTTTTTAACTATATTCATTAGAAAATGCATTGCTTTCACAGAAAAAAAAAATAGTCTTTAGTTTAATTTCTCCACATTGTATAGCATTTTTCCTTTTTATCTCATACATAGAACCTAATTCTTGTGAAGATTAAACATTTATATGACTTTGTTCTTGCTGTTTAATAACACCTTTGTCTTTGTATTTTTTTTTTATCTGTTACCTTAATGAAGATATCAACTGGTGGAATTCCTGCCCCTGACCAATCTCAACCACTTGGTACCATCTCTGCTGCACCATGGGGCTCAGCACTCATATTGCCAATCTCTTACACTTACATAGCCATGATGGGTTCTAAAGGACTCACCGATGCATCAAAGATAGCCATTTTGAATGCAAACTACATGGCTAAACGATTGGAGGTATGCATTCCTTCGAAATCTTTTCTTTAGTTAGTGTCATGTTACTGTGCTTTTGTATAAGATCCCTGGTTTTACTTATACTTTGATTCCTACAGAATTATTACCCGGTTCTTTTCCGCGGAGTCAATGGAACAGTTGCTCATGAGTTCATCATTGACTTAAGAGGCTTTAAGGTAAGTCCATTCCATGATTGCAGTTGTTTTTCAATTAATTGGAATTATTCATGCTCTGACAACTTGTAAGCTATTCCCATTGTAGAATACTGCTGGAATTGAGCCTGAAGATGTTGCAAAGCGCCTCATGGACTATGGTTTTCATGCACCAACAATGTCATGGCCTGTTCCTGGCACACTCATGATTGAGCCTACTGAGAGTGAAAGCAAGGTAACACATTCCTGGAAAATTAGTCCTTATGATGCCTTTTATTTTTTGTACAATTTTTGTTTAATGTCTTCTCTAATCCAACTAAACATCATTGCAGGCTGAGTTAGACAGGTTCTGTGATACTCTTATTTCCATTAGACAAGAAATTGCTGAGATTGAGAAAGGAAATGCTGACATCAACAACAACGTACTTAAGGTAAACGATTTTTTGTTCTTCATTTATATGATGTTACTAAGACAAGAAATGCTTGTTTTAGTTTTAATTATTCAATAGTATACACCATAATTATTCAACGTACTTAAGGTAAACGATTTTTTGTTCTTCATTTTTTGTTCTTGGTGCATATTTTAATCACAATTCCAACCTAGTTCTTGAACTTTTATTGATTATCTATAATGTTCTACAGGGAGCCCCTCATCCACCATCACTGCTCATGGCTGATGCATGGACAAAACCATACTCCAGGGAATATGCAGCCTTCCCAGCTCCATGGCTCCGTGTTTCAAAGTTCTGGCCTAGCACAGGTAATCATGTAGTAATTGTTTATATAACTATATGTTCCTTATGGAGACATTATTGTATAGATGGTTACAACCAATCTTTTATGTAACATGTAGAAATAATTTGAAAATGTAATTACATGTCACATAGAGATTGATTGGGACCACAGTTTTGAATCATACAATAATTTTCCATTCCTTATGACATCCTTCTCATAATCAACATTCACTGTTATCCCTTGTTTTGTTTGAGATAGTATATATGAAATATTAGCAATACACTCTCTAACGTTAGCTTTCTAACACACCCTTCTAATGATTGAAAATCATTGATCCCACTAATTTAGGAATAGAACCCACCAAATGTCAATCCATCCTTTAAGTTACTTCTACATTTGCGCATTGGAATCTGGAAAAACTTCATTCAACGTGATTTAAATGTGTTTCCAAACACACTAATTAGTAAGATCTACATAAATTCCACCCCGATAGAATGTGTTACTAGCATGTTTCATAGTCTATTGAAGGTGTGCTATATTGAATGTAGTACCTACATAATTTTGTTTGACTAATGATAAATGCATAGACTAATTAATAAATGTAACATGTGTAACAGGACGTGTTGATAATGTGTACGGTGACCGCAACCTGATCTGCACCCTTCACCCAGCATCACAGGGTGTTGAAGAAGAAGCTGCAGCCACAGCCTAGAATTCAGTTTCCATTGACAACTATTTTCATTTCCCGTTGTACATAAAAACTCTTCCTCTTCATACAGTCCTTGCACCTGTTGAATATTGCTTCATCATATCTGATAATGATGATAATCAACTGCTCTTAAGTTTCATCCAACAACAAGAATGAAAGCCCCTCCCACGGGGAAAAAAATAGTAAAGCTAAAGAATAGTATAATTGCTACTGCTATTGGATCTTAGGAATGTATTTTAGGCCTATATATCACATTAATGTGAAAAATGAATTTCATTCATGTAAACAAAGAAGTATAAAAAAAAAATTAAAAAAAAATCCTCAACTTTAGTTCCTTTTAATAAAGAAAGTATTTGTCAAAGCTTTGATCACAAAGACTTTTATGTCTTGGTCAATCCACGTATGTGGCAGCTCAGAGAGGTTTTTCTGTTGATACTTGATGTGTCGTGGTAACCTTGTTTTAACTGTGTCACTTGAATATTCACTTTATCACATATATTTTTACTTTATCATTTGATACATCAGACATACTTTTTAATTATATTACTAACTATTAATGTTTTAAATTTTCAAAACTATTTCATATCATATTTTTTTATTTCTTAAATATTTTTAAAGTTTTTTTAAAATTTCTTTCATTTTATTACATTTGCTATTTTTTCTCTTCCTATTCTTTTCCTTTTCTCAAAAAAAAAATAAATACACTTATAAAGTAATGTGACTAATGTATTTTTCTATAAAAAATAATTTTATGTTTTACTTTAGTAATCAATCACTGATAAATTATATTTATTGGTAAAATAACAATGAATATATATTTAAATGATTAAAAAGATAATTAAGAATTTATTAAAATATTTATCTTACATTAAAATAACCATTGATCATGTAAAATAATTGCTTATAAGCAACCCCTATTACAGATGTTCTAAGTAGGGGTGTTCACAAAACTATTTTTTTTTTGTTCGTCCCTGGAGTATCCACCGCCGATAGCAGTGACTAATATCTTCGCTACGTTGGAGGCACCTCAAAGTTCACAAAACTATTTAAAACTAAACTTTTTAAATAACTAAATTAAACTAAACTAAAATAAACTAAATTATTTTTTAATAGTTTAAACTAAACTATTACTTTTAGTGTAGTTTATAAAGCTAAACTATTAAAATTAATAGTTCACTTCACTAAAATCAAATACAAGGACTGAAGCACCACTTTCGTCGTTCAAAACTATTAATGTATAAGTGGTAGAATCATTCACTTCTAGCAATTGCACATTTCCATAGTTTATCTCATTTGGGCCTTCAGTTATTGGGCTGGTCACATTCCCAGGCTTCTTGATCTCAAGTGGACATATTTTATCCATGGTAGAATCATATACTTTTGGTTTATTTAAACATCACAACATTCTCATTTAATTTCTCATATTTTAAATATTATAATTCAATGCTCGCAATCTTTTCTCCTTTCTTATAGAATCCTTCTATTTTATCCGTTCAACATTGCTTTTGTTTATTTTCTCCCGCTCTAATGTTTTGACATCTTATTCAGTCTTATATATATTCATGACCTACATTCATATGTCACTAGCAACTATTTTCGGCATTGAATAGAATTTTTTAAGTAAAATTTACTTATAAATAACTTATATTTAAGATAAAAAATTTAAAAGTTAATATGAATTAATTTTAAAATATAGGTAGTTAAAATTTAAGATAAAATGAAGAAAAAAATAATATAAAAACAATTAATATATGTTTAGATGCAAGCAAAAAGTACTTTTAAACTTGGGTTCAAACAAATCCTTGACGAAAACAATCTTTGACCATATTTTATTTACCTCTGATTTTATTTATCTATGAATAAACCAGATTAGTCTAAGACTAAGTTTTAAAACAATAGTACAAAATAATAAATAAATAAATAAATAAAAACTTTTAGTTATACACTTGGCTTTTGGGAGCTTCAAGCAAAGACAAACAAGAAAGTAGAAGTCAGGATAGCACTGCAGATTCTACCATTGTTTTACATAAATTATTTTAAATTTAATTTATAATTAATATTAATGATTTGATAGCTCAATTTAAAAATATTAATTTTAAATTTATTTTTTTTAATGTAGTTCAATTTAGTTTATAATTAATAATAGTTTAATTTATAATTAATATTAATGATTTGATAGCTCAATTTAAAAATATTAATTTTAAATTTATTTTTTTTAATGTAGTTCAATTTAGTTTAGTGAACTATTTATTATAGTTTAGTTCAAACTCCTAAAACTATAATGCACTAATCTAGATAATAGTTTAGTTTAGTTTTCTTCTAGTTTAGTTTATCAATTTGAACACCCCTAACTCTAAGGCACATGTCTTTACTCATTATTGTCTTTACTAATTATTGTCTTTCCATTTTGCACATTTTTGTTTTGGCTCACCACTTCCTTCACCTATATAGGCTCCAAACATTATTCTTGTAGTGTATCTATCCTTTCATCTTCAACTTGCTGGCAAAGAGCCTTCAATTATTTTAGGAAGAAAGGATAATTTTGGGGGAGATCTAAAATTATTTTTGCTAAATTTTTTTGTTAGTATACTTTACTAAAATGAATTTAAAATTTAAGAGTTTTAATAAAAAAAATTAATTAACTAAAAATAAAGAATTATAAATTGTACCAAAATTTCAAGTTCTTCCCTCACTGGATCGCCTGGCTCCTTCAACCTCGAACTCTTTCTCACTTTCGCAAATAACCGAATTTAAACTGTTTTGAGTTATTGGATGGTTTTTGTTTAGCGGCCCAAATAGCATAGAACCGGCCCACCATATTGGACTGAAGCCCAAGCCCATTAGTCGCCCACCCAAGTCTAATGCCCACTCCCACTCATGAAAAAACAAAACCCACTGGCTCTATTTTCAACTTCTCCACTGCGATCACTTAGGGTTAATTGTGTTCGTTTCTTCTCCGTGCCACCGCACCACCTCGCCGACTTAGGGTTATTTCTGTTGTTTCTTCTCCGTGCTACCGCACCACCACGCCGACGGTGACAGGTACGTCTCATTTGTTTTTTGCGATTTCAATTTGAGAAATTAGTTTATATTTCGATGTGCTTAAGCAATTGCTCTGTATACGTATGCACGGAAGACTGTTGATGTTGAATTGTGATCAGAAATCAGAACCTTCTGAGTTGAATTTCAGCTTATTTCTTTGTTCTTCTATTAGTTCTATAGAATTGTTCTATTTTGTTTTTTTTCTTCTTTTTAACAATTAACTTATAACTTATCCTGCTCGCTGTTTTGGAGATGAGCAATATTAACCTAACCAGTCTGAATTGCCAGAACAAACTTTATTAGAATGCTAAGTTAGACCAGAGCCAGTTTTGTTGTTAAGGATTTTATGATATTTCAAAGGACAATATAGATTTTTTTAATAAAATAATGCAATTAATAAAAAAAATACAAATGATGAGGTTTGGTTTGAATAAAGAAAAATAAAATTAATATAATTTTTTTCAAATTTTTAATAAATAATTGATTTAATTTCATATCCTCCTCTTAACTGACATTTTACTATCTATAGTCCTCTGAGATTTGATAGTTTTTCATTCATGCTATTAAATTCGGACATATTGTTTAAATTTGTAAAATTTAATAATAAGTAGATTTGTTAAAATTTACTAGCTTGATGGGCTGATTTATTGACCCACTAAATCAATCCAAGTTAGACTCTTTCAAAGTTATATTTCATATAACAATTTTAAATAACCTACAAGTTTCTTTTCAAATGTGTTTGGATGAGAATATTTAAAAATTGAGATGCTAGAAGAAGAAGAGGAGGAGGAAATGAGATACAAAAGAAAATAAGAGGGAGAGAGAGAGAAAAGAGAACATAAGATAGGGAAAAGAAGAGAAGAGGAGAGAGAGAGAGAGAGAGAGAAATAAGGTATGAGAGAGGAAAATAGAAAGAAAGAAAAAAGTCATACTAAATCTTTAAGATTTTTTGTAATATTGTTGGATGAGTAAATTACACTTAAATTTTACTAAAAAGTTTCATAAAATTTATTATTTAAAATAATCTATTAAAAATTTCATGTTTTTTTAATTCTAACAAAGTTTTTTTAAGTAAAAAAAATGTTTTAATTGAATCCTACCATATTTTAACACACTCTTAAAATAAATTATGATTATATTAATTGAATATTACTAAATTTTGATGTACTTTTTAAAAAGATCCTTATTATTTTGATTGAATATCACACAATTTTTGTTATATTAAATTTTTTTATTAAATACCATAAGTCTTTTAAAGTCCATTAAAATTCTAATCCAATACAACTCCTAATTGTCTATTGCATTAAATATTTTTCTTGTAATATCCTTAATTAATTAACAATCTAAATAATATAATTTAAAGATTAATGAAAAAATTCTTATTAAAATTATAAAAGATGATTAAACATAGCTTTTGGATTATTAAAATATTAAATAATTAAATAAAAAATAATCAAGAGAGAAAAAAATGGTTTATTTGCCGACTTTCTTGAGTGGCATTAATTAGTTGAAAACGTGCCTGAGTTTTAAGTTATATATATACATATTTTATCAATTATTTCTCACTTAATTTATAATTAATTTAATCATTTTTCACCTAAAAATTTAATTTAATCATTTATAATTAGTATGTATTTATTGTGGAGAAAAAAAAAGATATACAATAAAAATTTCAAAAATATTTTATAAAAATAAAAAAATATATTATATTTTTTTGATTTGTATATAAAAACCTTTAAAGATACTAAAGTAAGATATTTTGATTTTACATGTCAAAATTTTACATAAATATACACATAACATGCCCAATAAAATTCGTATCTAAAATATATATTATGTGATAACTTTTAAAATATTAACTTGAATATTACTGCAAAATTTCATTAAGCTATATACCGATAAATATTAAAATCTAAAAGAAATTATTCATTAGATATTACTTAATTAGCAGTATAAATAAGTCATAAATTGTAAAATACAATCATATTTATAATAAATAAATAAAAATAAATAAATAAATAAACGAGCTGTGTATTGAATCCGCTTATATTTGACACAGTCCATAAACCGGTCAGGTTCCCTAACCCGGACGGGCCGGACCGCGTAAAAGATTTGATTAAGAAAAAGATATATATTACAACGACGTTGTTTTGCTCAACAAAATTTGAACAAAAGTATCAGCGTTTTCAATCTGGAAGAAACCCTGGCCGTTGCTCCTCTGTTCACAGTTCACCAGGTTAGGGCTTACTCTTAATTTAATTATAAATTTGGATCCTTTGCTTTTGGTAAATTTGTTACGTGAATGAATTGGTTTTTTGTTGTGGTGTATTGAGTGATTTGTGGTAAGTTTTGCCAAATGCTGCATGCATGCCAATTATCAAGTTCTGAATTATTAAGGTGCAATTGACGGTTTTTAATTTAGGGTTTATAAGTGAAGGCCAAAGGGGAGGAAGATGAAGACAGTTTCTGGACATTGTGTTTCGGTGAAAGACGTTTCACTTTCCAAAGCAACCAAGATTTTCTCAAAGTTTGTCTCTGCTGACAACGGTGCTTCACATGGCATCAATGCTTATCTCCACCGGGCTTCCATGTCTTTCGACGAGCTCAACCAGCTCCACAAGGAGTTTCACTCATCACGCTCTCATAAGAAGAAACACAAAAGCCACATAACAGAGGCTGCTAATGATCAAAGTGGGAGGGTAGTGGAAAATTCTGTTCATGGGCATGTGAAATCTAATGAGTTTGGAAGGGATTGGAGTGCCAGTGAGAATGTTCTTCGAGATGAAGTTAATGGTTCTATTGGGTATCCAACGGAAAATGTGGGTGGGAGTGAGAAGCATAAGAAGAAGAAGAAGCTGGAAGTTTATGATGACAAGCCACTTACTGGGGTGCATAATGAAATTGAGTTGGGCAGGGAACAGGGTAATGAAGGTGAGGTCAACCATGGAATGGAAGAGGGAAAGGAGCAGAAAAGTGCAAAGAAGAAGCACAAGGTAAATGCTAGTAGTTTTCCTGATAAGGATGTGGAAGGTGAGAATGGAAGAGGACTAGAACAGCAGAAGGATATAGAAAAAAAGCTATGCAATGGTGTTGAGGGTGAAAATGGAGGGATTGGTGGTTCCTCGGACTTAAAAGTTAAGAAGAAAAAGAAATATGAGGCAGGGGACGAGAATAACTTATATGCTGAAGAGGTAAAGATGGAACGCAGCAAGAAAAGGAAAAGTGATGATGTTGAAGGGATACTTGACTAAGAACAGAATCAACTAATAAGAAGAGAATCAAAAGGAAACAGTGGTGATACTTAAATTTAGGTGTTTTATGTAGTTGCTTAATCCCTTTTCTAATTTTTATTGTACAATTGATACATTGTGGGATCAATTTTTGAACTATCACATGACATCAGAGAATTAGCTTTTTGATTTATTTATCCCACTTTTTTCCTTTTTATACTTCCGTGTAGTCTTACAAACGTTGCTGCATTCAAAATATTGATTGCAATCATCAGCTGTTGGTGATACTAAATTCATCATGGAGACTGTATAGAGCAATCACTGCTTAACAAGGATCATCTGCTCTTGGAGTCTACATATTTTTAAGGTAACTACTTTTGATTTGTTGAAAAATAATTGCAGTGTCATTTGAAATCCGGCTGCTACTGTTGCAGAATTTTGGCTAGGTACCATTCAGAAACTTACTATTTAATGATTTATGGTATTTGCATATGTTTTGTTTATGACTTTATTCAAGTCATAGTTACGGATGTGGCTTAGTAAACTAATCTTAATAGCATTGGGTAGGAGAAGATATCTTGTGTCCAAACTTTGAGTTCTTGGTGTTGGAGGAAATTTTATATTCTGGATGCAATACCAAGGGACTATTTTCTTACATCATTGTTGTACAAACGTATTGTAATATTTCCACGAAAGAATATGAAATTTCCAATTTTCAGTAATTATAAGATTAAACAGATCACTAAATGAAATTAGTAAAGGAACATTGTTATTGGTTGCAAAACACAAGCATGAACTCAATCAAAATGATTGTCATGGTTGCATGTCCATTGTTAAATGTAGTCAAAAGGGATCAGTTATCCAAATCTAGAGAATGTCCAGCCTGGTCCTTGAATTAATAACATCTTTTTCTATATGTTACAGCAAATGCACATCTCTCTATGCTCTAGCAGGAAGGTGGCCATATAATGATATAAGTGTTTGCTGGTACTCATGATTCATTTAGCAACTAGAGTTTCTATGATATCTTGTTATCAACTAGATAGTTGGCTGCCGAGTAATATGCTTTTTTACATTTGTAGTCTTTAGATTGTAGTGCCTTGAACTTTAGAATTTAGATAAATTGCCTTTTTGGCGAAAACATGTTTTCTTTACGTTGTAAATTGAGATGAGGCATCTCTTTATAATACATAACCGAATGGTGTTTCCATTGTACTGAGTACACAACGTAAACACATTTTTGTTGTATATTGTAAATTTGCAATCTTATTTATATCGAAATATTTGTTACACACACCAAGCACTTGTGACGATTATCAATACAAGTAAAGTTCACGCCACACATTAATAAGTAGAATGAATTCAATATTCATGGTAAAGTGTTATGAGAGTAATAAAGTCTTGCGAGAAACACAATGTAATAATATCATTACCAATTACCATCACATTTTAGTAATTTTCAGATGTTCATGTTCCTCAGTTGCAAACAAAGAGTTGAAATATCTTACATGGCTTAAATATGAAGTTGTTTACGAATGTGCATCATTATGGTAGGATTTGTCCTATTACTAAAAGTCTCTTTTTTGTATTTTTGGATATAAGTTTAGAATTATTTTTTTAGAACTTCTCTATTAAAAAATATTTTTTAGTGAAATTTTTTTTAAAAATACTTTTAACTTATATTCAAATAGACTAATAGAAGATAGAACCCATCTTTTAAATAAATATGCAAGAAGTATTAATTAAATAAAGTTAGTGAATAACATTGTATAACGATTATATTATTCATTGCATATTTATTAGTTAAAAAATATAGTATTTTAGTGTTACAATATGATTATGTTATTCATTATACCCCAACAACAATTTATCTTCATATTTAATCATCTCAATTAAGTTTTATTAAGATGTGCATAAATTTTATTTCATTATTTGTATTTTTAAGTCTATTTTCATTGATATTTATCAGGTATAATATCTCATGGTCTAAACTATTTTTAATTGCAGCTATTGTATACTTTGTGATTTATTTAATACTAATAAATGTTGAAAAACAAAACGAATAAGTAAAATCTGAATCATCCAACAATTAAAACCAAATTATTTTTAATTGAAGTATATTAAATTTGATATTATATTTTAATTTATCTAAATTAAATTAGAATTAATTTGTATAGTTAAATTATATGACCTTTTTTTGTTATCTAAAGAACTATATATTTAAAATGCAAACATGCCATTGGTCCATGCTAAAATTTACATATAAGTGTATTTATTTTGAAACAGAATTTTCAGCAAAGTAGAATTTTTTTTCATCATTTAGTTCATAGTTTATTATTCTCTCGATTCAAGTCGTATCATCTTAGAACTTTATGTATTTATTTTATTAATTTGATTAAACTTTAATTGCTAGCAAAATAAGTTAAATATTATGCTATTAATCGATCCATTCATAATCTAACAATTTTTAAAATCAAGTTTGTATTCAAATTAAATCATTTTGTATTTAGGCTTCTTGAATTAAAACCTCTTTAAAAAAAAAACTTACAAAACTAATGACTTTCATTTTCATAATTGATTTTTAAATATGTTTTTAGTTTCTATAATATAGTTCCGTTTTAGTTATGGTCCTTATAAAATTATTTTTTTAAAATGATCCTTGTAAAATTTACTTTTATATTTTGATTCTTGTAATTTTATTTTAGTTTTTATAATGTACCATTTTTTTATTTAGGTCCTATAATATTTTATTCATTTTGAGTTAATCATTTTAAAACAAAATTAGTAAGAACTAAAAGCAAATTATTTGAATAGTATAAAGACAAAAAAAAAGTAAATATATTTACAAGGACTAAAATAAAATAATAAAAACCAAAACAAAAAAAGAGGAATTTTAAAGAAAGTATTTTTAAAAAGAAATAATTTTATAAGAATTGAAATATAAAAAAATGCGATATATTAAAAAGATTAAAAATACATTTAAGCATAATTTATTCTTTGTTAATTAATTAAAATCATCCTAAATATAACATAGTGGTCAAAAAAATATTAAATACAAATTTTAAAAGTAATTATCATAAAATTTAACGATTTCACTATGACAATTTGTAACTTCATAATAGAATAAGGCTAAATCTTTCTATTAATATTCTTATAAATCATCCTACTTTTTTATGAAACAAATTAAATAAAAAAAATAAATATGTTTAACGTATTTATTAGTCCAAAAGAAAAGTAAAAGAATGGACAAATATAAATTTATAATATTTCAATTCTAATCGAATAAAAACATAATAATAATTTTAGCTTTGCATTAAATTTAAAAGAAAATTGTTAGAAGATTTAAAATTAGACAAAATTCAAAACTTGCTTCTTCACCTATAATCATAATTAAACGTATACTTAAATAATAAATAACCCATTCATCATAATTTTGATGTAGTAACTTTCTCTTAAAAGAAAGTCAACTTTTATTGCACGTACTATGTGGCGAGACTCGAGAGTATGCTAAAGGTTAAAAAAAGTGGGGCCCAGGACGCCAAAAATCGACCGTTGTATTTCCCCGTTCCCAGGCTCCGTCCTCGTAGTCCTCGCACACTTCAATGTCTCTCTCTTACACATTTCAAAATTCAAACTTTCAAAATCACAAAGCAAACCTTCCACTTCCTTTATACATCCTTTATACATCCTCACACACACACACACTCCTTGTTCATAAACCAAACCAATATTCTTTCATTTGTTCATTCTCTGGTTCTGCTCCAAGGGTTTTCTTGTTCCGTGCAGTTGTCACAAAATGAGGGAAGAAAACCCATCAGAGAACAGGTCCAAAGCTTCAAAATTTGCAGACCAAAACCAAGTCCCAAAGCCTCAAAACATCAAAGGAACCAACCCCAACAACAACAACAACAACAACTCAAAAACGAGGTTGTGGGGTGCCCACATAGTGAAAGGCTTCTCCAATGACAAAAAAAGCAAGCTTCAAACAACAACGCTAGCCAACAAAAAACAAACACTAACATCATCAACAACAACCTCGGATGCTAAGAACAACAACAACAACCCTTTTGTGCCTTCTCACTCCCGAGTGAAGAGGTCCCTCATAGGTGACTTGTCATGTTCAATCAACCCCGCTCAGGTTCACCCTCACGCGTTCCCAACGCATAGGAGGCAATCTTCCACGGATTTGTTCACCGAGTTGGATCACATGAGAACCGAGTGAGATATTTCTCACTCCCTTGTTATTCTTGTACATGTTTAAATTGTATTGTAGGTGATCATCATCATGAGGATGTTGGTGATAAGGCTTAAGGTTTCAGTTGGGCATGCTCTGATAGGATATGTGACATCGGGGCATAACTAGTAGGATTTTGGGGACTTAGTATTATATATAGGCTATTCTCTTTCCTTTGTGTAAGCAGATTTTAGATTCAGCAGTAAAAATATTTTTCAGTTTATTCTTCTTCTCTCTTCTTCTTTTTTCTCCCTAACATGGTATCAAGAGCACTAGCGTCATGACCATGGCTTCCGCTAAAAAAATTTCTCGTTCAACATTTCTCCAGCCCTATTCCCTGTCGTCTCACTAAAGACAACTACCTCACATTGTAAACACCCAATTTTCTCCTCTTCTCTTTCTACTCCTTTTTCTTTTCTTTTCTTTATAAATTAATCACATGTTAATACATTTTGTCTTTCTTATTCAACATTCAAATTAAAGTGAAAGACTCAAACACTACTCTCTTTAGAAAGATAAAATTGTACCAAATGCCAACCATTATTGTACATAATTATTTTGATAAAGCTTTATAAATTAATATGGTATGACACAATTTAAAAGGAAGCACAAGTGAGTGTCTCACGCAACACCAAATTATAATGTTTTTTTTTTCAAAATAAATAAATAAAGAATGTATACTTATATAATAATAAAAATAAAAAAAAAGTGTTCATTTATTAACTTACGAAGTGCATAATCTCGAAGCTTCTGTGTAACATCGCAAATTCTATACAATAGTTAATTATTATTTTTATATTTATGAAAATTATTTTCTTATAGTTATTAATTAATAAAAAGGGTTTTTATAGAACATTTTAGAGATTTTAATAATTGATTATTATTTATTTTTAGAGATTATTAAAGGGGTTTATAATTAAATAATAAATATTATTTTTTGTGTTTTGGAGGACCGGAACGGGCCGTTCCAAAAAGTGGAACAG